TCCTGCTGAGGAGATTTGAGCAATGTGCTATCTGAACCTCATGGTAATTTTGACATCCTTGATTTTAATTCTCTGGCTGGTGTATAGGGCACCTAGTCAGGAAAAATTTGCCTTCAGGCTGGTTGAAAAATAAGTTAATAGGAAGAGTTTCTCTATAGAACTGAATTTAAGGATACACTGATACATGTTCCCCTTCTCCGTCTCCCACTATCCCACAATGATTCTGGACTCTTTTTTTTTTTTGCAATCTGTGCTATGTATTTTCCTTTCTCTTTAGGAGCCTGACTATCCAGCCTTTTTTAACTGACAGTTGTAGAGCATCTGGAATCCTGTTGTGGATTTTTTTTTTCCCTTTTTTTTTTTAAAGTTGCAGGCAACACTTCAACTTGTTTTTTATTGTCTCTTTATTTAGAGTAAAACAAAATTGTGAGGGATTCCCAGAGAAAAACAATCTCTGGGTAAATTGAATGTTTACATCAATTATCATTGCTTTGGTATCTGTCTAATTTGCATCTGGTTATTTCAGTGCAACCCTGATGCTTTCTAATAGCTTATCAAGCTGCAGGGCAATAGCTGGGTCTTCGTATGTCCATGTCTTTCTTAGTGATTAAATAAATCCTTGTTGCAGTGTGAGAGCAGGTGCATCTGTGTGCATTTGTATCAGTGCTCACACATGGTGGTGCAAAGCTCTGGTTCTCATTTTACTTTCTAATTTTGTATAATTTTTGTCCACTCCCTCTGTCCTTCCAATACAGTGTTGCACTAGGATTACTGTTCAGCATAGTCAGTGTTCTGTTTCAGAATGGGTGAACTTCTTGTGCTACCCAGTTTGCTGAAAGAAGTCATGTGAAGCTGAATGGAATTCAGCGTTTCCAAGTAGTTAAAATTTGGCTTCCCCAGAGCCCATAAGTGCCTGTGGGATGAGTGGGAGTGAGTCAAGAAATCTCTCATCTAAACCTTTATTTCATCTTCAGGTTTTTACTTCCTGTCAATACAGAAGCAGCTGTATCTGTGAAACTTGGTATTGCTTCATGCTCTAAGGAATGGTTTTCTTTTTGTGATACAGGTTTTATTTAATTATATCTACTGCTTCATGTGGCTTGATTTCAGCTAACTGACCTACCCCTGGAGTAGCAATGAGTTTTCAGCCTTTGTTACAACACTGTGAGTAATTAACTCTTGATGCATCAGGCTTTTTCAGGACTTGGTCACTCCTTTATGTCCTTTCTTGAGCACCTGGCCTATAGGAGCTGTAAGGAGACAGAAGGACCAGGTGTGGGTACAGAAGTTTCCTCTGGGAAGCCAACCACATTGTGTCCCTCCAAGGCAGTGGCATGTAGTGTGCTGTTCTGTGCATTGCAGCCAGCCTGGGAATTCCCTGGGCTGACAAACAGGCCAGGCCTTGGCAGCATCTTGTGGCTCTTTCCAGCCTCCTTGGGCGCTCACCCTACTGGTTTGGGGAACCCTGTGGTCCCATAGCCAGTCTTGATCCTGAGATGATGTGGGTGCTGCACCTTTGCTGTTATTTTTACAGACCCACGAGAAGTGCTTTCCTTTGAGCTAACAAAGTAAGAACACGTCCAAGTCACTGTTCATGGGAACTGTGTGGACATGCTGTGTAAACTTAGAGGTAGAGTAAAAAAGTTACTCGTGAGGTGGGACTCCTGGGTTTGTGGTCCAGCTCTTGCAAATAAGCTCTGCTTCTGTCAACCAAAGGTGTAATTTATTACATGTGGGTTGTCTAGGGCCATGGGGTTCTTTCCTGGTAGATACTAAAAATACAAGGCTCCCATTTTGTTATGTGGGTCTGTAGCAGGTTTGTGATCTTTGTTTAGCTTTGCTGCTGCCCCAGGATATCCCTGTTGACTCAGCAAGTGCTGTCCCAGGGCTCACAGCCTCACATGGGGCAACCTTTTCAGCAGGGTTTGCTGCTTTTCATCAAATTAACCTCTTAATATTTAGAGGCTGAAACTGCAGTGTGCAGACGGTGCCTGTGTCTTAGTTTGCATATCTTCTGATGTGGAGACAGCGTCTCTTCCTTGTGTCTAGGGCTCACTGGCCCACTCTGACTGCTCTTTTTGACAAATAATACCAGATTTCCACACTGGAGCTGCCTCTGCTTCCCTGCTACAGCAGTGGTGCTTGTTGTGAACAGGGAGAGGGACCAGCTGAAGCCCACTGTGCATTCCCTGCTTTCCTGCTCCTCTTCCTTCCCTCAATAACCTGCACTTGTTTCTTTGTCTCCTGCATCTTAACAAAGGAGGGCTTGAGGGGAGGGGTCAGCGATAGGCTGATGTCTGCCTCCTCCAGGGCAGTATTCCACAAAATGCCTGCTTTTATGTGGTATCTGAAGGCACTTAGAAAGTGGATAGATTGCTCTGCCTGTTTCTCAGTGATTGAACAAACTGATTGGAAATTAAAAAGGAATATGCATC